GTACAAGACATATAACTTACTGAAAAAATATTTAATGTGATTCTATGACATGAAATTTTTATATAAACATCTCTAGAAGAATTAATTTAAGTGTTAATTTAATTTAAATGTTTAAGGGCTGAACATCTTATAAACATGTCAAACTGAACATTTTATAGTTAAATATGATTTAGACTACACATGCCACTCAGATGGCCATGGTCTTGGCTCAACAAGCTTTCCGTATTCTCCCAAATCCAAGCAGCAAATATGTCTTTTGCAAATCACAAAATAACTTAAAACTACATTTTTTTATTTATTAAACTGACTGTTTTCTGTTTTAAAATGACAATTTTGTTTAAAAATTTTCAGATAATGTAAAGGCCCTGTCACACTATAATGTTTTAGACAACATTGACCAACTTATGAAAGGTTTGCCCAACAGATGGAATTAAAAGAAAAATTACTGGAAGCTTATTTTGGACCTATACATACAGTACTGTAATGTTAACAATTAGATTGAATAAGCAGCTGATATGAGTAAAATAGTCATAAATATTTTCACAAGTCAGCATAAATTGTCCGAACATAGTGTGACAGGGCCTTAACCATTTAATATGGTTCATATTTGAGCATTTATTTAATTACATTTGTCCCAGAGCAGCTCTAAATGAAATTGATTTGATTGGTAAAGAGGTTCCTTTAAATCCTTAAATATTTATCCTGAAGACTTTGCTATCTCAGACAACTTGAGATCCCTGCTTAATATTTGCTTTATGGAAGCTAAACAACTATGTATTGCATCCTCATGGAAAAAAAAGATACATTATGTGGCATTTCACAATGGCTTAAACAAATGTCCTTTTACTTTGCCCTTGAGAAAATAAGCTATTTCACTAAGAACAAGCTGGACAAATTTTGGGAAATCTGGTCTGTCTTTTACACTTGGCTGGGCGAAAATRATATCCAACTTGACTCATGGACAGAGGATGTGCCATAAGTTCATATGGTAAGACAAATTGAATATTATGTTTATTGGTCTGTTGATGGGTTTGYTGTTTTTTTCTCCTCCCCTGTATTTGTGTATGTTTTTGCTTTGTCTAAAGTTATAATTATGTATTTGTAAAATTGTTCCTATGTTCTTGTTATAAATCAAAAATTAATAAATATATGTTTAAAAAATGTAATCAATTTTAAATTTAAGCAAGCTTAGCACATCCACAACCTTGTTATTCCTATACAATTGTTAAAAAAAATAAAATAAAATTTAAAAAAGAGCACTTGGGTAAGTTAGTTTTGGTTAATATAAGTGATACGGTTATCATCTGAAAATATTTATCAGCTTTTACTAACYTTTATTTGATATTTATTGCATTCTGTTTGACAGTTTGGTGTATTGGCGGTTAGGGTGTTTAGAGTTCTGCTTTCCATTTTTTCTGGGAATTGCCAAACATTATTACAATAATAAGGTAACAGTTTAGTTAACCACTGTATAATATATGATGTGCCATGGCTTCGCCTATTCACCTTCCTTAYGAAAAGAAAAAAATAAAATGTAGTTTGCCGTTGCTCTATAAAAAAAACAATTTAAACCACAGACAGTACAGCAGGAGGGAGGGAGTATATCCTCTGTCCACGTATTTTAAAAAGCTATCTTTCTTAATTTCTTTTGAGAATTTTTTGTTGAAATGGCCATATAAATAAAAGAAATAGTTTACATGCCTGGTTGGGCAGGCATCGAGACAKAGCCACCTGCCCAAATATGCGTTTTCCATGAACCGGGCAGTCCAATTTGTCTAACCCTGAAGATAAGCTTTTTGCCTGTTAGTGTGTGTAAAAAACAGAAACTTTCTTGCTACTGGTTTCATATAACTGACCTGAATCTGACTTGCAGGCAGATTTCCAAGCATTTCACACTCTGGATCCCAGTAAACACTAAAGTCTTTAATCTCCAGCTGCTTTTGTCGAAGCTCCTTCTGGACCTGCAAAGCAAATACAATTTTTAAGTAAGTAATAATCAAATCTATAAGGTTTTGTCTTTTCTTGAGCTGAATCTCTTCAATTGAAAATTTATAGTTTCTTAAACTAGGTCATTTGTCAGTTAACTAATAGAAAACAAAAATATTTCCCTTTGGAAAATATATTGTCGGCTCTTAAAAGGGTTAAACGTCAACATTTATTTTAACCTTAAACTAAAATAACATCGTTTCCTTTATTTTAACCTTTAAACTATTTCCTAAGCCTTATTACCTTTGTCTTTAACGTTATTAATTTTTACTAATTTTATTCATTATTCCATTGCTCTATTTCTGTAATAAATTACCAAAAAGACAAAGCTGAAAATTCACTGATTATGAAAAGGGTTCTTTAAATCTTAGGATCTCACACTTTGATGCATACAAGTCTGATTTATAAGTATGCTCCCGCTTGGTAAAAACTATAGAACAGGTGCAGACACAGCATCACCCTGCTGTCTGCAGCCTCAGTTCTTCTACATTTAAATAAAACATAACTGTGTAAATACTTACKGACACGTTGGAGGGATTTTGAGCAGATACATTGTTGATGCAAACTCCAAAAGCAAAGGGCTTCTTTGAGTTTGAAATGTCATCCTCAAAGCGAAGGTGGACGTTTTGAATCTTCAGCTGCACACAAAGCATGACGGTCACATATCAATCAGTAATCACTACTTTATTACTTTAGAAAGGTTAACGACAAAATCAGTACAAATTCTATAACATTCAGAAATTTATGTTTATTTTAGGAGCATGCAGCACAGTGCTAAGTTATAAAAGGAAGAAAAAGCTGGTGGTTGATTTATAAAAATCACTAATTAAATACTTGGCATGTGGCAAAGAAATGAAAACAAAAGAGAAGACTACACATTGTGTAATGTTGTATAACTTACCTCAATGTTTTCTACAATTCTGGTGACGAGTGATGCAGTGACAGAATACCAGTAGGACTCTCCCTTCTGATCACACTCATTCTGGAGGGGGCACATATTTATATTTTACATAATATAAAAAATGATAAATATACAGTGAAGATAAAAAATCTAATTCCAGGGTTTTGTGATGTAAAAAAATATGTTATTTATCTTGGTTTCTTAGAGAAAAAAACTAATTTATCTTGGTCACTTTAAAGGCTTCCACCTTTAAAATGTAATTAC